ATATATATATATATAGGTCAGTGGCCCTTGGCTTGGTATTGTTGGCAGAATTCGGCCCTCGGCGAAAACTAATTGAGGAACCCTGCTGTGAATAGTCTTTCACTTTCTGCTTGTTGAGTCTTTAAGACGTAAACTTCACAAGCTTGAACTCATTGTTCTGGACAAACCATAACTGGGCTTTCTAAAATAAACAGTGCTACAGAAAGCCTTCATAATATCAGTGTGATATCAGTGCAGATCATAACATACCCCTTCTCCCGATGGCGGAGTCTCTGAGGGTGCCACTTCTTAAGCAGAACCCACACATCACAAGATAAAGATGCTGGATCTAATATACAAAGAAAAAAAAACATTTTTGGTAACATGATAACAGGTGCTTTATATTACATATTAATCTCTTAAGAGTCTCATTTCTATAAACTGCACATCTGAAATGTTTACTTGTATCTCTGCTTTTCTGTTTTGGGGTCGGCTGTTTTCTCATCTTGGCGAAAAGTCTCCGGCATTCTCTGCATCTTACAGTATCAACAGGACAAGAGGGCGAGCTGGGACCCGATTCCACTGTGAGATCGGTACTGGATTCTTCCAAAACAGACTCAAGCTCTACCCGAGACTCAACCTCAGTCTCAGAAGTATTAGCCCTCAACCTGAGTTTCTCTAGAGTGTCCTCAGCCATTGCATCTGGAGCCAAGGAGATCTTCTGAACCACTCCATGTTGTGGTTCCACAAGAGAAAGAAGTCTCTCGTCTTCTTTTCTCGCTCGACATGATGCACCAGCTCTACTCTTCCTTACTGGCCGCTTCATATCATGAATAACAGACACATGGTCTTTTATTTCCTCCACACTCTCTGACTGGCTAGAGTCATTGTCACTCAACACCACACAGATGCTCTCAGGGTCCTTCACATGTTCTCGCTGTTGACGCCTTCGGCTTCTCAGGACTGTGTTGCGCCGCAGTTTCATAGAGACAGATTTGGTAGTAACCTCACTTAGAACCAAGATATTCACCTGTGATGAAGAATTAGAAAAATCTAACATATCAAACAACATCATATCCAAGTCACTAAGCAAAAGACCTCCTCTAGGCGATGTTTTTTGACTTATTAAAGGGATTTCTACCTCACTGTAGCATCCTGACTCTTGTCTTGGAGGAAAGTTAGTGAGGTAGTTGTAATATGCCCTGAAAACAACAGCCATCAATGACTAAATCGCAGTTTGTTTTATGACTAACTAACAGTTAGTCACCAAAGGTCTAGTCACAAATCCAAATAACAAATAAAAAGTAGCACATTTGATTCACTAATGCCTAATAATGTTTTCTTAGAGTGCTGTGGTAATGCAGAGACGAGGTCTTCAGCTCATTACTTCAAATAAGTAATATTATTATATGTAATCTGTTAATAAAGCACTTAATCACCTCAAAAAATAGCATATTTTCCTTTTTTTTTTTTTACCTGAAACATTTTTATTTGTACGTTACTCTGTTCGTTTTGGTTTACTTGACTGTCTCGAGAAGCACTCTTTGAATAACCATATCACATATTTCTTACTCTCTCTCGGAATGTCGACAGTCTGTTTGTTGTAATAACATGTCCAACATGTCCATCGTTTTAAACACCGAGCTCGAAGAAGATCAACCCGACGCGAAAACAGTTTTCTGATTATCTCAGTATAGCTGTACGTTACTGTTCGCGCGCGATCACTGTTGAGCCGCCAGATACTCGCGAGACCTGGCTGTCATCAACCGGAAACTTTAGAAAGTTAAGAGCAGCCATAAGGGGGCGCTTGGTCTTGAGGGAGCCTATGCCGAACGCCGATATACCAATATCTTACCGAGAACCATAAAAAAAAAGTTTTGTTAATTTTTTTCATGTCATTACATTGGTTGGAGCATAAGAAACCAATGGAGAAAAACATTTCATATATTAATAATATATTTCATTAATAATTTACTCTATGTCCTTCAAACAGAAAACAAGATTATTTTGCTTACCCCATTGGCAGATTATTTTGCTTGTTTCAAGCAAAAACTCACTTAATTTTTAGTTTTTTCTGAAAACAAGACAATAATTTTCACTTGTCTAGAAAAATCCTTCTTGATTTAAGAATTTTTAGATATTTCGGCTGGAAACAAGACAAAAAAAATCTAAGCAAGAAAAGCATTTTTTTGGTGTGTACTATCAATGTCCATAAAGAAGAAAACTTCAAATGCCATTTTGCTCTTCAAATGTCATAGATTGAAACCTACAACAAAACTTGTTTTTTCTGGACTAAAACAAATTTATTTAGCCAAGCTAAGTTCTCATGATTTTTTTTTATTAACTGACCCCTATGGAATGAATAAAATCCAATTCTGATTTTAACCTAAAAAAAAATCACTAAACAACGAATCAAATGCATGATTTGCCAGGTTACCTGTGCAAAACATCACAATCTATAGATCACAATCATGCTTGGCTTTGCCATGAGTTAGAATGCTGCATGTTTGCATGCTAAGATCAGAGTATGAGTTAATTTTTCATATGATTTTTAAATTACATTTTGTACTGTATGTTTCATTGAATAAGAAGCACCTGTTAAATAACACGATTCAGAGTAATTTTATAATGTAATAACAAGGTACAGGATAAAGTAAAGACCCAAAGCTTACAACTTATAACAGTGTTTTATTTAACTAGAGACAAAGTACAGATCAGCCTAAGTGCCCTATGGACACACAATTTACGCACCAATTTAAATAAAATCTAAATATTTCTATGAACATAAAATTATAAATTACTTAAATTTAAACCAAAAAAGGTAATTACAATTATTTAAAGAGTTTCTGTTAAATATATTATATTATATTAGTTATTTGCATTGAACAGTTCTTAAATTAGAATTGTATACGTCAAACACGGAACAGCACAGTGGTCTATTTCCTGCAGTCTGTTTGCTTCTCAACATATCCTGTGATGTTTATTAATGGCTTCCCTGTTGATACTTGTCCTTTGCTACTGAACTGAGGTCAAGATTTAATAAAACCGGTCATAGATCCATCCGGAAGGTCACAGGTTTTCTGGGAACTGCAGTCGTTACTGCATTAGACAGCTGCTGCTTGGCAGGAAGTCTTGAACATATGTGACCACAGCTTTGGAAAGATAAGTCATAGTGCCATAGCTGCCGCTAGGAGCACTGTCATAAAAGAAGTTACAGATTCCTGTGGCAGGATCCTTCTCCAAGAAATACTCATTGGCCCCGCTGGAGCTCTGAAATAAAAGCACATAAGACACAATGTCCAGATGTGCAAAGCTGGAATCTAGACAAAACAGGCACAGTTTGGTGAAGTTAAGATAGTTTTGATATGTTTAGCCTTTTTTCAGCAGTGCATGATTCCCATAATTCCATTTGTGCTATATCATAGTTTTGATGACGAAATCGTAATAATAAAGAACAAGCACACCTGCTTATATAAATAATAAATGTAAATACATGCAAACATACCAAGCTACATATTATGAGCATCATATGTAACATAAAAAGGCATGATGATACCTGATCCTGTTGAAAGAGATCATTGGCCATGTGGACAATGCGGTCGATGTGAATAATTCCCCCAATACTGGGAATCTCCATGTCAGCTACAAGGGTCAACACCATAATGGCCTCCACCAGCAGCTGTCTGTACTCAGGCTGTGGGACATGATTCAGTACAGACTCCACGTGCACTGCGAACTTGATCTCTCCTTCTGTCATCTACAATAACACACACAGACAACAGTCCATGATTACAGGTATTTAAAGGAAAATTCCAAGTTTAAGGTTCAACGTAATATAATATAGCAATACAGCAGATCAATATGAATACATTGACATTATTATTATTATTTTTTATGTTTTTGAAAGAAGTCTTTTATGCTCGCCAAGGCTGCATTTATTTTTCCAAAAATTCTGTACAAAAAGTACAATAATATTGAGGAAAAATAAATACAATTGAAAGTATCGTTCTCTATTGAATGTATTTTAAAATGTAATTTATTCCTGTGATGGCAGAGCTCACCATTGCTACAAGTTTCAGTGTTATATTATCCTTATTATTATATAATGCATCCTTGCTGAACAAATGTGTATGTGTGCAGGTGGATGCACCTCACGGGTGGTGGAGGAAGGCAAGACGTATCCGGCAATGGAGAGGCCGTGACATTTCTGGAGAATCTTCCAGACCTTCTGGTAGAAGCCCATGGGCACTCTGTTTATGGCCCCATCCAGTCTGCGTCTCCTCAGCCACTGGCCCTGGCGTTCCTCCCACTGCAGGTGTGAGTCACCTGCACCAGTCGGAGACAGGATCCCGCTGGGAGTGGAGGGGCTGCTGCATCGCTACAGACACGCACACATTTACATCAGTATATCATTAAGATATGAGCTGAAAATCTGACTAGTGGGATGTCAGCTTTACAGTGACAACACTTATCAGCACATATAACACACTTAAAAGCATGCTTCTTCAGGTTTAGTAAGCAGAAACTAAGACAAACATAGTTAAGATGTTACAATGCCAGCCCATGCTAAGAGAGTGAAATGACCACAACAAGACAAGACTGACTTGTGACACGTTAGAAATGTTAATTGGCTGTTATGGCTGGAAGTTTGTCCCATTTCAAATCAGTCAACTAATCTGAGGCATTGAAAAAAGCGTTTTTATTTATTGAGAACCAACGGACTGAATTCACCCCTCCAAGTTAAATTGATTTTTAATCTTCTAAACCGTAAAAAGTAGTATTTGACATAGTGGAGAGCAGGTGTTTGTGGAGAGGGTTTTGATAGGTTTTTCTGTAAGTTACCGTGGAACGAGGGGATGTGAAATTACTGCTGATGGAATTACTGCTGGTAAATATCTATGAGAATAAAAGCAGAACATACAAACATTTAAAATTAAAATTAAAATGGAAAGTATTTCAGATGAACGAACAGTTGAGGCATCATACAGAGACTCACAGTCAAAAAGATGCTTCATATGACTGAAAAAGATGTGTATGATATGGGCAAACTGAATATTACTCAACGTTTTCATGCTAATACTAGTTTAGCATGTTTTGTTTTATTCATGGTCTAGACAAATGTGCTGTGACCTCTAGACAGAATGGGCTCTGCACAAAAAAGCTACTCTTAAGTATTAGCAGAGCATGCCAATATTACAAACTCAACCCACACTTATGGGTCTGGAGTCATCAAGCTGAAAACAAAATAATATAAATGTAATTTAAGGCATAGTAGTGAAGAAATGTATATTTAAATTGAACAGTAAATATTTCAAAATTTTTGAAACACAAAAACACTTTATTACAGACATTTCTCTTTTTTCACTCCACCTGTTTGATTTCAGTCTTGAGCTTTCTGATGCCCGTACGCTCCGTCTTGGTGGCCCCTGTGTGTCCAAGCTCATGGATGGAGATGGCGGGACTGGTCGCTGAAGACTGAATCGGACGCACTTTCATATAATATAGAGCGATTAATGAAGAACAGCTCACACAAGAGATCACAAGAGTAGCAACATGCCTGTTTTTGAATAGGAGTATAAATTGTGTGTGTGTGTGTGTGTGTGTACGAGGAGGCAAAGTCCTCAAAGTTTTTTTTTTTTTTTTTCAAATGTAAACATTACTTACACTATCGGAAAAAGAAGAAAAAAAATCGATTTTAGAGTTTTATATTAACAATGTAATCAATATTCTATTTATATAAATCATACAAGTATGAATCTCATCAAGTTAGTGTTTTTAACTAACTAATTTGTAAAATGCTTATATTCCAAAATTTTATCATATTCCAAAATAATAACTAAAGGCAGTAACAATTTAAACAATGTATTTTATTTGTGAACTTATGTTAAGCTATTTAATAGTTAACTTTGACTATTTTTGAATTTTTTACTTTACCTGCTGGTGTTGCTGTTGGACAATGTTTCTTTAGTAAAAAACTAGTGATTTATACACTTTTTAATGTTATATTGTGTAATATTGGCAATGTTTTATTTTTGTACAACAAATTTTTCTCCCTTGCATCCTTGGCGGCAATGCCCCAGATAGATAGATATATATATATATATATATATATATATATATATATATATATAATCATTTGAAACAGCAGGTTCCCATTTTGTCACTATACCTTGTGTATGTTTAATAATAATACTCATAATAATACCCAAAAAATACTCACTGGACTAAAGAGCTTGAAAACTAAGGCTGACTGATACTCACTACTCCTCTCTACACCAAACTCTTTCCCGCTCAGGATGTGATGTAAGAGATTCTTCATGTCAAAAGGACTGAGGCTCATCAGGCTCTCTGACGCCTCCTCACCTGTAGACATCAT